AAAAGTCTTGGGAACACAACAAACACCAACAGGACAGGAAGTATTACTGCAGTGGAAGGGACTGCTTCTGTTGGAAGCATCTTGGGAATCCGTGACCTTAATTGTCCAGCACTTTCCAGAATTCCACCTTGAGGACAAGGTGTGTTTGGAAACCTGGGGTAATAATAAGCCCCCTATTAGATACACTTATTCTAGAAGGCATAAGAAGGTGGTAGCTCCAAATGGTGGGAAAGAAGTAACAGAATCAAGTGGCTAAAACAGGATCGGTTACTTGGGCTGTAGGCTCTATATAAACAGTAGATGAATAACCATTTAGCAGGTAGAAATTGAGTTAGGAAGTGGAGAGAAATAGCCCTCTCGAATGGCTTTGTACTTGCTTTCAGTTCTGTAATCCATTGCTTATTAATTCCATCATCAGTTCAGCAACTTTCTCGTCTCCATTATTTCCTGTTTGCCTTTAATTTTCAGTCTCAGCTCTTTGAACCTTATCAGTGTCATCATTATATCCATGCCATCTTGTATTGTTAAAGTTACTACCTCTATATGCATGGGTTAGGGTGTCTGGACTGTGTCCATGTTTTGCAGGTTCAATTCGATTATTTATGTGAATTTTCAGCCATCCTGTTCTGTCAAATAGAATTTTTTTTAACTACTAATTTGCTGATGAGTTTTAGACTAGTTATAATGAAAATAAAATAAATTTTTGCAGAGGTGGGCTACTATCAGAAAAAAACAGGGCAACTTGAAAGTGGGAACCAGTTCGGTACTTTCTGAGACTCAGCTGGCTGCGGCGCACAGAGCAGTGTCCCTTGCCCTAGATATGCCCTTGGGTGATAATTTGAAGGCAGCAAAAAGTACGGGTAATTCTCTCTACAGCTAATTTTATTTATGTAAGACAACCTTTGGGTTTTCTATTATTATGTAATTCTGGTAGTGTTGCGAACGGGTGAAGTCATGGATTATCTAAGAGGCCAGAAAAGAACAGACTCTAGGGCATTTTTGGATGCTGTAAACAGAACTAGAAATCATTACAAAGTTAAAGAAAGGAAAAATGAAGAAAACTTGGCATCACGCCTGGAACCCCATGCTATCCTACCAAGGGTTGAAATTCAATAGCTCTCAATTTTCAGTAAATATTGGCTTCCATACGGTCTCTGGAGGACTCCTAATGTTTACTAGATTCAAAATTTGAAATTTATTAAATACTACGAAAGTATATTGAAGACTTGGAAGAAAGGACATGAATTCAATAGCTCCCAATTTTCAGTAAATATTGACTTCCATATGGACTCTGGAAGACTCCTAATGTTTACTAGATTCAAAATTTGAAATTTATTAATTACCCACGAAATTATAGTGAAGACTTGGAAGAAAGGACATGACTTTACCCCCAAGGATAAATCCAATGTCAAAACTTGGAATTGCTGTAAAAATGCAGATTTTTTACTACAAGTCCATTGAACTAAAAATACTTCAGTTTTCAGATTTATATACAAGTGATAAATACTGTGACTTGGACTTGGGTTAAAGGCTGTTTTGGGCTATCTATCAAATAAGTCCAAAGAAGCTTGTATCCTCCCAAATAATTTTCAATTTATACATCCTTTTATTCACCCATTTATTGCTTGCATCACCGATATGAAGCTTGGAGATTGCTTTGAGTAGGAAATTAGTCTGTGGGGTCATCCTATTCTACTGATCATATTGCTTTATTGATGCTGGAACACTTTTTATTTCTATTTAATGGTCTTATACCATATGCAGGTGGAAAGTTGGCTGTATCTCTCGTCAAACAAAGTAGGTTTCATCTTTTATGCAAAATATCATTGAGATTCTTATGAATTAGCATATAGATATTGAGTTATTCTAATATGTTGAGTGGATATCAATTAAGGATAGATAGTCTTTTAACTAATCTGTTGATATGGATGAAGATGGAGTTCAACAATGCCCCTTGTTGAATTTTTTTTTACAATCCACCCAAAAGCAGTATTCACATTCCAGTTTTGGTTCACGAGTATATTCTCTATCTCAGAACTCATCAGTCTCGAACAATTTAGAAGTAAATTGGTGGAGTATCTTGTTGTGTGATTGTTTTCCCAATTTGAATGTGGTCGCTATGGCATGTAAACTTTTCTCTGCCATATGTATTTTGTTTTTCCGTTTTCCATTTTTTGCTCCTCATTTCTTCGTTATTGATTACTGTCCCCAAAAAAATCACCTGGAATGACTTCAGAGGCTGTCCACTTGATCCACTTTAATATCTCGTTGCATTCATTTGTTTTAGGGAAGCTCTGGGCTCCCTGATCTTTCAATTAGTGGTTTCAGGTCTCCAACCTTCAAAGTGAGGTTTTAGGCCCCCAACTCTTTTTAATATGTGAATTTGGGTCTCCAATTTATGAAAACCATCAATGAGGACGCTAAAATTGAACAGGATTTTCATGTGACATAAATCTGGAGGGCAAAATCTTCATATTGCTTACCGTCCAACTTTAGGTCACTAAAAGTTGCTTGTGATTTTAATGTCAACATGCTAACTGAAAGGTTGGGGAACCCAGCCCTAGTAATCTGTTTCGTATGGTTTGCTCTAGGTTGCACTGATCATTGGTTGAAACCGTAACAGGTGGTACAGCATCAAATAGCACTTCAGGCAACTCCTCACATCCTGCTTTTGTTGAAACATCATCCGTTGGTGTACCTTCATTGAAAAGATTATCAACAAATCCTACTCAAACCTCAGGTTCAATGGTTGAAGCTGCTGCAGTTGCTGCTGGGGCTCGCATAGTTAAACCTTCTGTTGCTTCTTCGCAAGTTGAGGCTCCACGTTCTCAGAATGCTGTTCATACCATTTCTGGAGGAGGCTCTACGATAAAATCCTTAACTACTGGTCTCTCGAATCAACTGCCAAGTAATGTGCATTTTATTCGAAATGGCCTGGCAAAGGCGCCAATCACCAATCACTCCCCGACTATGACAAAAGCCTCTAAACCTGGTGACGCTCGGCAAGCACAAGTTCCAACTGCCGGAATTGCAGGAACTGTAGCTGAAGCAACTGTTTCTAGCTCGGAAAATGTCCAGAAAGACGAAGCTGCTCTTGCTTCAAGAGAGGAAATTCTTGAATCTCGAGTTGCTTTGGTGGGCAACCAATCGGAAGAGAAAGTAGAAGAAAATCAAGCTTCTTTTTCAGGCAATGCATCAAAAGAGAACAGTATAGCAAATGGAGCTTCTATTCCCTCCAAGGATCCAATCGGACCAACTACAGATAATTGATTTGCTTTAGCAAGTTCGGATGTAAAAAATGGTGGTAATTTCAAATGTGAATCATGCTACAATTTTGTTCAGTGTATTAGCAGCCTTGACCTGTGAAGCAAGGGATGGTCCCCCCATGATGGAGTGCAAGTGTCCGAGATGTATTGGACATCGATACTTCTCAAAGACATCCGGAATCTACATGCTAGTCGTGTCCGGTTTATTAATTTCTGAGTCCGATATCTGATCGATTTGTAAATTTTGAAAATAAAAATTAGGGCAAGTTTACATTATTACTGTGCTGAGGCAATGTGTGTATTTTCATCTGATGGTGCCAATTAGCAATTGCCCAAAAATCATTCTACTTTCCTTGAATGGATTCATTTATGTAATCGTAGTGATGTGATTTTACAGAACTTTGTACTGTAATAGTGTGGGGCCACCTTGGGAGTT